TAGTTACAACGGCTGCCCCGCCCTTCAAACCGAAACGCGTTACTGCTTCACGGCAGAAATAGGCAGGGCGGTGGTACCTACCCGCGCGGACTCACAAGAGGTCCTACCACCAGTAGTTAAATTCGCTATAGTAAGGTCTCATCAGCAACTAGTTTTAAAGTTCACAGTTTTCTGTTGTTGCACTTTCGATAATCAATTATTCAATACGTTGAATTCATCCTTAACCGCAAAACATCTATATAGTTCGTAAAATACCGACATGGTACATGATATTGTTTCAGCATGAACAATTCAAGAACAAACACGGATTTATATGTACTAGTGGTCCCCCGGTGGTCGAATTTAATTAAAATTATAAGTTTGTATTATGATTATATTGTCAAAGTCTATTTATACTTCTATAATCACAGATTTTGCCAAGACTCCACTTCAGACAAATATTAATAAGGCAAACAATATTTAATCTATTCTCAATTTGACCACAGACTATAAGCAATAAGAAAAGTTTGACAGTAGACAAATAGTATGCATGCGTGTCTGTGTCAAATACATGGTAATGTGTGAAATGTTTTTTTTATTGATTTAATGTATTTTTTATGCATACTTTAAAATAAAATTTAGCATTCTGCACTCCTTCTCTATAAGTGTGGAAAATTTCATACTCATTCGTCTGCGCGATTTTCGTAAAAAGGTGTACAAAGTTTTTGCTTCACGTATTAATATAGTATGACGTCAATGCGTAGGCAACATTTCAACATTAACACTGTTTTTTTGTTCATACCTATTCGCTGTTAGCCTAAGGCCTTCGTCAAACAGAACGCGTACTTAGCGCGCGTCATAGCGCTAAACTAACGCCGCGCTATGACGCCGAGACTACTACGGTATTATACGGCGTCAGAGGGCTAATTACGCGTTCTGTTTGACGAAGCCTTAAGGGACTATTCCAGTTACGCCCGGACGGATATGTGTGAGCTCACGGGCTCAACCTGAGAGAATTTGCTAACACTAGTCCTGGCAAAAGCAGTGCTTCACAGAATCTACCACCGGATCGGAATCGCGACCCACTGAGAAGATCCGGCGAGAAACTCAGTGGGCTCTTGTGTTTGAAAATCGATTTAAATGAATCGAAAATGTGTGTAGATAGGTAACAGTTTAATTTACTTAACGAACAGATACATAAACGGTCTTTATATGAATTGATGTCGACTTGAGTGTCGGTGACACACAAGTCTGTTGTTGATAGCATTCATTAGCACCATGAAAATCATATAATTTGGAGAATAAAACAATTTATACTTTATTAATATAATAAATGTGAAGGACTGCACGTTTGTCTTTCTTTCACGTCGAGATGGAGTGACATCATTTTTGTATGTGATTATATTAGGTCAGGAGAGTTACATTACCTTATTAGATATTATTTAAAAAGAAGTCATTCTTACGGGAAACTATACCGACAAATATCCTTTTATATGCGGGCGAAACTGCGGGTAACAGCTAGTAACTTTATAATTAATAGTTCCTTTCTCTCAAAAGATTCCTTCAATTGGCACGGACAACCCTTTTTGGCAAGGGGAAAATCGTTTCGATGTTAGCAGAGCGCTAGCCCATAGCGAAATTGCGTAGGATATATCTTGGGCGATGAAAATATCTGAAATAAACCANGACAAATATACTTTTATATGCGGGCGAAACTGCGGGTAACAGCTAGTAACTTTATAATTAATAGTTCCTTTCTCTCAAAAGATTCCTTCAATTGGCACGGACAACCCTTTTTGGCAAGGGGAAAATCGTTTCGATGTTAGCAGAGCGCTAGCCCATAGCGAAATTGCGTAGGATATATCTTGGGCGATGAAAATATCTGAAATAAACCAGACGCGCCGTGTACTTTTAATGTACCTTCGCGTTTTATACTCTATATAATGCCAGTAAATTCGTATTTACAAAGCGCCAGTAATAACCACGTACCTACAAACAATAATGTCGCTGCTAACCAGAACAAAGGTGTAGTAAATATTATACTTTTTTTTTGTTGCTTAGATGGGTGGACGAGCTCACAGCCCACCTGGTGTCAAGTGGCTACCGGAGCCCATAGACATCTACAATGTAAATGCGCCACCCATCTTGAGATATAAGTTCTAAGGTCTCAAGTATAGTTACAACGGCTGCCCCACCTTTCAAACCGAAACGCATTACTGGTTCCCGGCAGAATTAGGCGGGGTGGTGGTACCTACCTGTGCGGGCTCACAAGAGGTCCTACCACATGGTAAATGTAGTAAATGCACCATAATTTAGTTGTTCAATACTAAGCCGATTTGCCACGCGAACTAAATTACGGTGATATTTGTCACTATTAAAAACAATGGTGGGTAATAAATGCGTATTTTTAATTCAACGCACGCACAGTTGTACGCTGGGTGACTCATAGAATTGTTTATCAGCTGTTGTAATTTTATGGCTATGATAACAGCGAAACGCGTCGAATTAAACTGTAAAAAATCGACAATACCACGTCTAGTGTGCTTCTGAAGATATATGAAGAAACATAGTGTTTTTAGTTCATACGTATCTTATAGTCTTGTACAAAACTGCTCCATTTTTCGGTAGTATACAAGGTATTATTACATTTATAAAATAATAAAATGTACAAGTGAGTGTTTGAACACTTAGGTAATAGCGTTCATTTTGAAATTAGGAAATTTAAGTCTGAATCTTGCAATAATTTTATAAAAAACTTTTCGGAGTTGTTTTGTATTAGTAATTAGTAAACATTAATATTTCGCGGTTTCGTACGCTTTTTTTTTTTTATTGCCCTGTAGGCAAACGTTCATACGGCCCACCTGATGGTGAGTGGTTACCGTCGCTCATGGACGTCAGCAATGCCAGGGACAGAGCCAAGCCGCTGCCTACCGTTTAATACTCTCCACAAATTAACTCTTAAATTTTAAATTCAGAATGGCGCTGCATTTTCGCGGGATTAAGTGTTATCGTGTCACTAGGTGTAGACATGAGTCGTATCTCGCTTTTATGTATAAAGAAAATAAAAATTCCTTAGTATGTGTTAAGTGTGATGATAGTTTTAATCCATAGAAACAGCTAACACTTCTCAGTGGGTCGCGTTTCCGATCCGGTGGTAGATTCTGCGTAGCACTGCTTTTGCTAGGGTCAGTGTTAGCAACACTCCGGTTTGAGCCCCGCAAGCTCACCTAGGGTGCGTTAGCGCCCACAACGACCAAAATTCTCCTTTAATCGTTCCACATAACGACCGCGGTCGTTGTGGTCGCGGCGAAAACGTCACTTATGACGTCATGACATACGCTCACGCGAAACTCACGACGACCCATCTAAAAAGGTGGGTCGAAGTGATCGTTGAGAAAATTAGCGGCGTTTTCAAAACTCAAAGCATCAAAAATGGCGACCGTTAAGCTTACGTTATTTCATGCGGAAAGAGATACTGTGTGGAGCATTATTGCGACCTCTTACCAAATATCCAAGTGCCGCCGCAAAAGACATTTTAATTACATTTGAACGTAAATTAATTAAATACACCACTAATATTAAATCATAATTTTTTTCAATATAAATCGTTTTAAACAATAATTAATTAAGTTTATTTTCAAGGCTTACAGATTATAACTTTTTTTTTGGTCAGGAGTAAATCGCCGGACTTCCGCCCTCCACTGGGGATGGGGGGCGGGGCATGTCAGAGTCGAACTGACTAAAACCTCCTGTCGCTCAACAACCAACGCCCAAACCTCGCATGAGACAGAACTCATGAAGAGGCAGGGGGGGAAAGTGAAGCGTTTAGTGCGGAGCACATCTCTCCCATCACTCTCCCCTTCGGGACGCCGGACCGGCGGTCGTCGGCGCCACGACCACCAGCCCTCTCGGTCGGCAGGCTATCCGAAGCCCGCCTAGATGGCGCCGGTTAGAGTGAGCTATGAGTGGGTTGAGGATAGCCGGCGTTCCATCACCTGGATGCTCTTGCGTAAAACGCGTGCAGAGCAGCTTGCACGTCGTCTTCTTAGGCCCCTCTCGCCGGTCCCCAGACCGACATGTGAGAGGGACCCGAAACACTTAGAGGGCCAGGGCTTGGGCGAGATCCGCCTCCCTGGCCCCCGCTCGACGGCGGCGGGATTGTGTGTCTCTCACGCGCCCCGCCGCCTCCTTCTCCGAGATGGTGCACTCGCAGAAGTCGAGCATCGCCTTCCACGACTTTTCGTCGCCGAGCATCGATGCCACAACACTCGGCAACGACAAGTCGTTTCCTATTTTTGCGACGAGGACACGGCGCAACCCCTCCCATGCGGGGCAGGCAACGAGCGTGCGCTCCGCCGTGTCCAAATCGCAACCACAATGGTGGTACTCTGCCGTCGGCTCGGCTCCGATCCGGTGCAGGAACTCACCGAAGCAACCATGCCCAGTGAGCACCTGCGTGAGCCGGAAAGTGAGGCGTCCTATGTCACGATTCACCCAATCCACAAGGACCGGGCGAATCGCCTCGACGGTCCTACGACCAGCCGAAGGATCAGCCAGCCGTCTGGACCATGACTCCTTTTTGTACTGGGTTCGTGTCTGGTTGGGATATTACTGGTGGTAGGACCTCTTGTGAGTCCGCACGGTTAGGTACCACCACCCTGTCTATTTCTGCCGTGAAGCAGTAATGCGTTTCGGCTTGAAGTATGTGGCAGTCGTTGTAATACTGAGACCTTAGAACTCAAATCTCAATTATAAATGCCTTATAATTGAGATTTGAGTTCGAGTTGTATTATAGCTGTCTATGGGATTAACCACTTAACACCAGATGGGCTGTGAGCTCGTCCACCCACAAAGCAATAATAAAAATAAAAGTCTTATAACACGGTTTCTACCAACACGGGACTTTGTAAGAACGTAGATACGTATCTACCGTGTTGTTGGAATACCTACCTGTACTGAAATACAAAAAGTTTCTAATCTAAGCCGTTTGATTGAAGGTTGTTATTTTTTTCTTGTTTTAGTTACATAATGCCACGAGCAGTTTTAGTGACGGGTGGTGCGGGCTATGTCGGCTCCCACACCGTGATAACGTTATTAGAACGACAGTCGGACGGCGATCCTTTGGAAATCGTGGTGGTGGATAACTTGTCGAACGGTTACTGCGCCGAGGGCGAGAAGAAACCGGAAGCTTTGAAGAGAATCGAAGAGTTGACCGGAAAGACGGTGCATTTTTATAAAGTAGACATCAGATGTGCCGAAGCCTTGGATAGGATATTTGAAAATGTGAGCCTCAAATCGATTTGATAAAAAAAAAAAGCGACTTTCACGATTTAATATCGCGTTTTTTTTTTATTGTCGGCAAATGCTTTAGTCTTTTGTGACCGTGTAAACGGTAAAGGAATCGAAATGTCAGATTGTAATTTAATGAATTTCTAATTATGTCTACTAAGAGTAGAGACTAGAAAATATATTTTAAAAAAACTATGATTTTGTGAAATTGCTCTATTTGCTCTTGTTCTCAGGACGAGTTCACGATCCACCTGGTGTTAAGTGGTTACCAGAGCCCATAGACATCTACAAGGTAAACGATGCCATCCACCTCGAGACATGATTTCTAAGGTCTCCGTTTTTACAGTACAACGACTGCCTTCCATTCAAACCGAAACGCATTACTGCTTCACGACAGATATAGGTGGGGTGGTGATGCTATCTACCGGTGTGGACTCACAAGACGTCTTGCCACCAGTCAAAAATCGGTATCGGCTATCGGCAGTGCCGCCTGTTATAAGACACGAGGTCTGAAGTCTTGGCTTTTGACGCGATTCTAACGCCCACCAGGCCTACCAGGCTGATTGAGGGCGCTGATTCGACAGAGCAGCTACGCAAAATTGAGATAGCGGTGTGACGTAACAGTTTGAATTCCATTAGATGACATTCTTCTTAAAACTTCCAGCACAACATCGATTGCGTAATACATTTCGCAGCATTGAAGGCTGTCGGAGAGTCGGTGGAGAAGCCTCTAGAATATTATCAGGTTAATATCAACGGAACTTGCACGCTATTCGAGGTATGTACACATATATATATTGGCTGTAAACGTTAATTATAAATATATATAAAACATAGTATTTGCTTCATTTTCGTGATTAATAAAACGGCAATAAAAATGAAATAAATTAAAAAGATATATCGTAATTTCTAGTAGGTACGGTACTGACACTGATCCGGCTGTAATTAGGAATGCTCTGAGGAATTGTTCGAGATGATTCCCTCATCTCCTTTTTATCACCGCACCTCCCGCCATCGGAGCAGAGTTCATCCATATTATCTGGAACCGCTGCGTTCATCGACAGTGCGTTTCCAGAGGTGTTTTTTGCCACGTACCATCCGGCTATGGAATGAGCTCCCCTTCACGATGTTTCCCGAGCGCTATGACATGTCCTTCTTCAAACGAGGCTTAATGGAGAGTATTAAGCGGTAGGCAACGGCTTGGCTCTGCCCCTGGCATTGCTGAAGTCCATGGGCGACGGTAACCACTCACCATCAGGTGGGCCGTATGCTCGTCTGCCTACAAGGGCAATAAAAAAAAATATACCGTCAGTCATGGACGTCAGCATTGTCAGGGTTATTGTCAAGTTGTTGTCAAGTCGCTGTCTACCACAGAGTAGCTTCGTTAGTAAGCCTCTGAAAATACTGTGGAGCGGAGTTCATCTCAGGACTGATTTAAAAACGTGATAACAGGATTCAAACAATTCTTCAAAGCACTCTGGGCCTATATATCCTCCTCGCGTCGTTTTCCTCATTACTGAGGGTCGAGACTCCCCCGCTGCATCGGTTTCTCCCATACGACTTCCCTCCATCTGCCGCGATCCTTTGCTTCATGAAGGGCATTATGGAAATTGATGCTCAGAGAAGATCGTACTTGGTCCGACCATCTCGTGGGACTGCGTCCTGCGGGCCTATATATAGGACTGCCTATATCTGCTGTACCGTTATATGAAGTATATAATGATAGTTATGTAGTATGTCTATTGTTCATTAAAAAACTAGACGACCGCTTTAGAACACTTTTTACTGATGGTAGGACCTCTTGTGAGTCCGCACGGGTAGGTATCACCACCCTGCCTATTTATGCCGTGAAGCAGTAATGCATTTCGGCTTGAAGGGCGGGACAGCCGTTGTACTGTTAAAAGTGAAACCTTACAACTCACGTCTCAAGGTGGGTGGCGGCATTTACGTTGTAGATGTCTATGGACTCCGGTAACCACTTAACATCAGGTTTGCCGTGAGCTCGTTCTCCCATCTAAGCAATAAAAAAGAACAGAAATGCAGGAAATTTTAACACACAGTCTAAATGTAGGCTTCAAATCAACTTTCAGATAATGCGGAAACATGGCGTCTACAAGCTGGTCTATAGTTCGTCGTGCACGGTTTACGGTGAGCCGGAGTATCTGCCAATCAACGAGTCGCACCCTACGGGAAAGTCCCTGACCAGCCCCTACGGAAAGTCGAAGTACTTCTGCGAGGAGATCATGAAAGATTTGTGTGTGAGCGATAAGGTAAGATTTTTATTTCACCGGTGTGCTTAGTGCGAGTTTTTTAACGTTCTCGATAGCGTTAAAGTTAACTCAAATTTGTATGGAACGTTTGCCGCTAGGGGCGCGTTAAAAAACTGGCACTAAGCACACTGGAATTTAAATATTCACGTTTTGTTTATTTCTATCAGAGGCAAATAAAATGCGATCTCTCGAAAACAAAATTGAAATTTGTTCAGAAATAAATTAGTCCTAGTTGCCATCGTCATTAATACCGTGTTGGAGATCGAAATATTAATTGAAGACATAAGATAATGAAGAGAAGGGGTTAAGTACAACTTTTAAGATTTTTTAGTTTTTACATTGAATGAAGGCGTTATGTGCCTATAAACCATATTAGACCTTAAATCTCCGAGCTTAAAGGCTACTTTTAGAAATTGCATGTGATGAGGAGTTATTTACGAAGAAAACGTACAAGGTTACAAAAGTTTGTTGCGCGTTTTCTCAAAATTAACAAATTGTATCATATCCCCTTTATCCACTCATGTCTTCAATTATATAACTACCGCCTCACCCTTCGAATCGGAACGCATTGCGGTTTCGCGAAACTTGATGACGTCACGCATACGACGGAATGCGATATTTTCCTTTGCCTAAATATAGTTCACCAATATGTGAAGGCTAGAGAGGGCACAAGTGTCCGTAAAAAAGCCACCGATGAGGGCGGCGCCACCATAGCGAATGCTATAATGTCAAAGATGGCGCCTAAATCTATTGGAACGTAGTTTGTTATCGCATGTTTCAGAGACACTTCCCGATCCCCCAGGAAACTTTTTGTTTTATCGTTTCAGCATGTCGTAAATTTAGGGAATATTTTAGATATTTATGATAAAAAAAAAATACTGATCTATTCTTTTCACTAATGCTCAAGAAATGTATCTGCAATAAAAACTTTATTTCGCAATTCTTCATATTTAATTATTATTTGTTTAATAATTACCTTCAAAAAAAATAATTGCAAAAGCAACTCCGTTCCAATCGGGTGCCTATAAGACGCCTCTCTATTTTTTGTATTGCCATGTTAAATTTTTCGACTTGACACATTTCACTTCACTTCATTTGCAACACTAGCGCTGTTTTAACGGGTTCTTGTAAATTGCTGTCAACAGCAGAAACTCTAAACTTGTCTACTATTTAAGAACTTTTACCTCTACCGTCTATGCAAACAAATTAATAATATTTGCCTTTAAATTGTATGTTTACAAATAAGATATGCGAATCATTCTTAAAAAATTGCAAACGAAGACTACAATTGCTTCATACAAAAGTATAGTAAAGTCGGTTTTTGGCAGAAATGGGCGATAATATCTTTACGATACTTCAACCCGGTTGGGGCCCACGAAAGCGGCCGAATAGGAGAGGATCCCTCTGGCATACCCAACAACCTAATGCCTTACATTTCCCAGGTAAGTTTTTTTTTTTTAAATTAGGTATCTCTCACTTTTTGGCGGGAACGCGAGGAGTGAAGCTGTGTGATTTGTTTTATTTTGTCGATTTAGTGTTTCTTCAGGTTTAAATATGTAATAACGGTGGTTTGTTAACTGTTTAGTATCTGTAAAAGTGCACAAATATAGGAAAATAAAACAAAGCCGCTGAACGTAACTTCTCCGGATCCTCGAAAGTCCACTGAAAAAGTCTCAGTAAATGACCACCATTTTACTGAGTTTATATTTCATCCCATATCATCTCATCTCATTTCATATGATTTCATTTCATTTCATAATATCATTTTTCATATAAAAATATATATAAAATATTAGGCTGTATGGTATAATACCTATGCCTTTCCAATTGGAAAAATAAAACTACTACTACTCTAGTTATCTCAGCGGCTATTCGTTGCTGATAGATAATGTATAGGGTTAGCAACTAATCATAAATGGAGAAAATACATTTCGGTGTTTATAATTTAAATAGGAATCAGGTAATTTAGTGCACATTGTATTATTGACTGAATGGTAAGCTGACTGCCGATAATGTCAGACAACGGAAATTGTGTAGCTAGCAGCTCGAATTTTGCTACTAACGTTACCACGTAACAGTGTCGTCCGTAAACCGACTTTTTTTATTGCTTAGATGGGTGGACGAGCTTACGGCACACTTGATGTTAAGTGGTTTCCGGAGCCCATAGACATCTACAACGTAAATGCCGCCCTTCAAACCGAAACGCATTACTGCTTCACGGCAGAAATAGACGGGATTTGTGGTACCTACCCGTGCGGACTCACAAGAGGCCCTACCACCAGTAAACTTTACAGATAGTCAATTTTACAGATAAGACTTTACAGACAATCTTTTTTTTTTAAATTAGGTAGCAGTCGGTCGGCTAAAGGAGCTAAAAGTGTTCGGCGACGATTATCCCACCGCGGACGGGACCGGCGTCCGGGACTACATCCACGTGTGCGACCTCGCCGCGGGACACGTGCAGGCCATAAAACTGTTCCACCAGCCGGGCTTCAACGGTTTTCATGCTATTAATTTGGGTAAGATTTTTTTTCTGGCTAATTATAAATAGAAAAAATTACTGGCCGAATAGAAACCGTTATAAACCGCATTGTAATTATAAAGCATATAAGAAAATTCAGATACGATTTAGATCCTAGATAATTCTATTTAATCAATCTATAAGGATACTTCTCTGTGACGTCCCTAATATGCACATTTCGATTCAAACACCATTCGCTCTATTCGTGATCGCGGCGCTTGCGATCCGCCGAAACATCGGGAACTCATTCAATGTGAAAATCGTGGTAACAAATCAATAATAATGTCGAGATAGTCGCGAAAGCTTAAAATGATTTGTCTCAAAATTATATATTTACGTGGCTGTTTGACGTCGACCCCTTATCCTCAACCTTTGTCAATATAAAAAAAAAGCTATTGTGGCAGGAACTGTGGTGAAGGTCATGAGTGTTGTCGTAGGTATGGAGGGTAAAGGGTAAAGAGCACCATCTTGTTTAAGGGACAAAATTGTCCGCCCGTAAACGGAAAGCTATTGTCGCAAGACTCACCGAAATAGCACTCGTTCAGGAAGTGGAAGTGATATGAATATAGCAATTTCAAATAGAGTGAAGTATGGTATTTTATGGCACTGTTTTTAAAATCCTTCCACTTGCTACAGTGGCGCCACCTAGATTAGCTCCCTTTCAGCCGACTTTTTTGTAATACACAACTAATAATCAATAATATGGTAGTGGCAGAACGTCTTGTGAGTCCGCTCGGGTAGGTACCACCACCCTGCCTATTTCTGACGTGAAGCAGCAATGCGTTACGGTTTGAAGGGCGGGGCAGCCGTTGTAACTATACTGAGACCTTAGAACTCATATCTCAAGGTGGGTGGCGGTATTTGCGTTGTAGATGTCTATGGGCTTCGGTCACCACTTTTTTTTCCCTACCTAGCTGAGAGCCTCTCAAGGCTATTTTAGCGTAACCTTAACTAGTAGGTGAGCTCACGGGGCTCAAACCTGACGACGTTGCTAACACGAACCCTAGTAAGAGCCGTGCTTCGCAGAATCTACCGCCGGATCGGAAACGCGACCCACTGAGAAGATCCGGCGAGAAACTCAGTGGGCTATGTCTGTCGGTTAATTTACTCGTCGAGCCCTTTGTCGCAAGCAACGGGTTCGACGAGAACATTGACCGGTGCTTGCTTAGTGAATCGGGAAGATTTGAAATGACGTGTTTGGGGCGACGTCAACTGCTTTCCATTCTGTCCGCAGGATCGGGAATGTCACCACTAACTAAACCATCTAAGCAATAAAAACAAATAAAAAATAAAACACTGGGATCTTATACTGAAATCCTCCTTAGTTCTATCCTCTATGGTTACAGGTACGGGCACTGGTTACTCGGTGCTGGAGATGGTAGCGGCGTTCTCCAACGCGAGCGGCCGGGCCGTGCCGCACGCCGTGGCGCCGCGTCGCGCCGGTGACGTCACCGCGAACGTTGCCGACGTCGCGCTGGCGACGCGCTCGCTCGGCTGGCGCGCGACGCGGAGCCTGCACGACATGTGCCGCGACACGTGGCGCTGGCAGGAGGCCAACCCCAACGGGTATCATCGAATTTAAAATATTTCTTCATTAGAGTCGGCTGCATTAGAGTACTTGTGGTTTGTTATTTGTTGTTCGTATTCGCGGGATATTTTACTCTGAACATATAAAAGTCAAACGCACAATTTCCACAATATCTATAATGTATAAAATGTTATAATATAAACTAAAAGAGTAAACAACTTAAATCGACGCGCGCGAATCTCTTTGCATGACGTCACGGGACACCTGCGTGTTCGGGAACCCCGATCGCATCCGATGACGCCCGAGCGCGACCGAATGTTGCGCGCTACATACTTAACGGTAGGTAGCGGCTTGGCTCTGCCCCTGGCATTGCTGAAGTCCATGGGCGACGGTAACCACTCACCATCATGCTCGTCTGCCTATAAGGGCAATAAAAAAATGTTCAGTCAATACAAGTTCAAACTTAATGTGCCCCCAGCTAACAGTTCACAGAAACATTTATAAGTCAGATATACACAAATATTTCAATGAAAATTGTGAATGTTTCCAACTAATATTTTAGAAAAAAATTATCTTTTCTAGAAAATATCTTATACGATCTTATAACTTCACTTAACATATTTAATTTAACATAATTTAATACTAAAGTGTTCGATGCGGCCATATTATTTTGATTTTTTTTAAAACATACCAAAAATCACACGTTCCTATATATGTGTTGCCATTTTCGTAATTTATTCTACCCCATTTATTATAATAAAAAGAATATATTTTAATTATTTAATTTAGTATATTTATTCGTTAAACTTGACCAAAGTTGACTCAACCAAATAATTGTTGTTATAAAATAGTTATTATACAAAAAGCATTTATAATTTTAATAAATATTTAGGATGCTATAGAATTTTATAAACATATTCGTTTCCATTGCTGACTGACTGTCGATTCATCATTTAAAAGAATGATAGTATTAACGAAATTAAGAAATTATTTATTTTGAGTGTTCTGAAGGAACTTTGTAATCGTATCTAGTGAAGCGTCTGTGTCGATGTCTTTGCCTATTTAAATATAGGATATCCTTAAAAAAAAATCTGTAATAATTTAATATCAACGGGCATCGAGTCGTTTTTTTTTCGTGAAATTTTGTATAAACTTCCAAAAGTACGATTACCAAAATGAATTCATACAAAATGTTTTAAATGTTCGTATCGTGAATTTCGAGTCATGACTTGTACTCAAGTCCGCAATTAATAACTTGACAAAATTTTGTTTAGCATTTCACTGTAATCATATCATTCCTGTAATGTAATGTTATTTTTAACTTTTGGTGCTACATATTTTATTTTGTTATTTAAAAAAATGTTTAATTAAATGTTTTATTTACAATAAATTTGTTTTTATTTACATGATAAAATAATATAGTTTTACTTCTAAATGATTCCGCCTGAGGCGCCCCATTTTGACGTGTCATACTTTTGAAATTACATAATATTATTTTCGATTCAATGATCCAAGTACTGTTTAAGTTATACTTTTTTTCATTATGGCAATCGGCTTGCCGTAATGGCATTGTTGCCAGTGTCAAGGTAATAAAAAATTTATAGGTATGTGCACACACCACGTTATATATGAAATGGTATGGTGGGGAATTAGATAATGTAATAATGGGAATGATGTGACGGTGAGATTTTTTGGGACTTCTGTAGATTATTGGAAGAACTTGACAAACAGTGTTTAGCGACTTCGGTTCATTTTCCCACACTTGCGAACTTTCACAGATGCTTAACATTTAACAAGCCACGTCTAATCCTCAAGAAACACTAAAATGGTAAAATAAATTAATACACATAACTTCGCTTATCGCCTTCCTCCTTACCTTATACTTCTGTGGCACTATATAGATTTTTGCCTAAGCCTTTGCCTTTATCCATTAAAAGTTTGTATTTTTGAAGTTATACTTCTTTAGGCGCGTTATGAAAAATTGATGAGAGTGAAATTTTACGATGCGCGCGCACCGTGACACAAAATTAATAGAAATGAAGTTGCCCACTAAATCGCTCATTACAATACGAACGACGTAACTTGGCGAGTCTGAATATAGCCGCAGGTGAACTTTCGCGCATGTACACTCGTAAGTGTTATTAGCATAAATTTTTTAAATTATTAACGTTAAATATTTACTATTAATTATTTAATATTAAAAAAAAAGAAATATTTAATAAAAATAAAGTATAACTTCTTACGCGCGTACATAAGCACACGCACCCTTTTTTTGCTAGCTAAGAGACAATGTCACGAACCTTCAACATTCATTTTTTACAAAAGCCCAGTAATGTTCAACCGAATACATAAAAATTGTCTTATCCGTTATGAGAGGGTTTAAAAAAAAACTAGATTTTTGTAATTAAACTGTATTATCTAAAATTACAAATTCTTTCGTAATTTTAATTACCAACTAGTAATCCGATGTGATAAGTCAGCACATAACATTACTGTATCTAAAAATATAAGATTTATATTATATTTTTACTTCTCGACTAACCTCTACTATATNATACATAAAAATTGTCTTATCCGTTATGAGAGGGTTTAAAAAAAAACTAGATTTTTGTAATTAAACTGTATTATCTAAAATTACAAATTCTTTCGTAATTTTAATTACCAACTAGTAATCCGATGTGATAAGTCAGCACATAACATTACTGTATCTAAAAATATAAGATTTATATTATATTTTTACTTCTCGACTAACCTCTACTATATAATATGCACACAGAAGGCTTTCTAATTTAAAAAAAAGTATATTTATACTGGCAACACCTGTGTATGCCAGTTGAGTAACCAATTAACACTAATTTGCCATCAGAATGACTATTATTTTGGGATTTTTAGAAGTCATAGATTCTGTATCTTGAAAGTTAGTGAGTAAACATTATTTTTGAAGTTTTCATTCAAGCACGATTAAGAAAATTCTAGGAAAAAAGTAACTTTATTATAAGAAAGTCATCTAAATTGTGCAAAAAGCAATCTTTATATGCTGAAAAAATACTTAGGTATATTTAAATCAGTATTTAACAAATACGGTTTCTTGCAAATTTGACACAAGATTTAAATTTATTTACCTATGTGCAAATCAGTGATAAAGAGAAGCTTACAGAAATAAAGAAAAAATGAAAAAAGTATATTTAAAAAAAATATCTGAATTTTTATTGTATCAAATTCTTTTAAAAGTACACAGCTATAAACAGAAAAACCAAACCGAATCAATCAGTAACGCAACTTCTATGACAAAATTAATTAATTGAATTTCATGTACCTATACATTTTAGACGAATAGATACCATTAAAGTGATTCTTGCCATATTCAAAAATTACTAAATCAATAAAAAGCTAATTCGTCCATCTGCATTTCGGTTAAGAACACGGAAAATACATTTCACTTATTTATAATCTAAATAATATGAATTCAACAAACACCTATTAACATTATATCATTCCAATAGTCTGTATGTCGACGTTGCTATCTGAAGAGGTACACAATCATTATTACAGTGCTATCAATTTATTACAGTTTCAAATTCATGTATAATTTATTGTGATCATCTATAGACAATATTTTTTTTTTTGTTTGTGATTAGGGCTAATATAATCCGAAACTCTCTGCCAAAAATTTAAACTATTTTTAACCCAAAAATATTCCACATTGGTGGGTGGAACATTCACTGATTCTACGTCGAAGTTGTTACTCGGGAAATATGTACGCGTTGGAACGCAGATCAAAAATGAAATTGCAGTCAAATTTTAGTTACAATTAAACATGAATTGGAAAATGTTAAACGCCAGAATTCGTATAACATCTATCTGTCTTCTTCACACAAGATAACCGTGGGAAAAACGAAAAGTAAATGAATTATTTTCTTCCCGTATAACACAACTGAAATATTTGAATACCTCCTACACATCATGTCGACATGCAAACCCATCGAAATACACTGTAAGGCAACTATTGGTGGATACATTAGGCATTGATATGATAGTGGAGACAAATAGAAATTGTCAAAGAATTGTCTTTGGCTTTGTGACTGTTTTAAATACAACACATCGACATGTCGTAGGGCATATTGGATGTGTGAGAGTACAAATCGCAACTTTAGAACTAAAGTGGCACAACAATTTTTTTTTTAGAAAATGAGATTTTAATTTTGAGTCACTTAAAACATGTAATCTATCATTTTATAAAATTAAAAACTAAATTTAAATTTTAGTCGATATAGAAATAAACATAGTACACTTTCCGTCTCTTATAAATCAAGCGCATACCTGAAAGTTTAAGGTGCCTATGCGTTTTAAGGTTTAAAATATTAAAATCGAAACTGAAGAATTACAATTCTTCAATTACAGTTTTGGCGTTGACAAAAACAAACAATAATTTTGGACTTCAATTCTAAAGGTGCGAAATAGAATTTAAAATTACATGAATAGTATTATATTAGTCAAAAATAAAATTAGTTGTAATCGAATCTAATGTATTTTAGATATTGTGTTAAACAATTTTCGGAATAATTCGTCTATTAATATTTACAGTCCAGAGAGTGGATTTCTTGAAACTAATCGTGCGCCAACTACCGCACGTTGGCGGTACTATACGTATGGTAACACACAAACAAAAAAATATTTTATGTATACACGTCACGAATAGGTCAGGTTGTGTCTCGAGATAAATAAAACTGATTAGTCACAAGCCAGACTTAGAACGTGGAGACTATAATTGTGTTAGAACCTAACATAAACTTTGGCTTTTGGGTAACTTGTGGAAATGAAGAGGATTCATCGACCGCTAATTTTTAATTACCAAAAATGGCATAGAAATGGGAGGAATTTAAAAGTCTGGTCCGAATTTATGGTTACACCACAATGAGTTCGGTCGATGTAATTCCCAATTATCCTGCACGAAATCATGGATAATGTATCATTAAGGAAAAGGAGTATCGATATAATTAGAAACAGCTAAAATGTCTTGTATACATGAGGAGTTCACGATTGGTTATTGACTGGTAATCAGTAATTGAGGTGTATCAAAATCCACTATATCGATTTTCACGCAAATACTAAAAATTGTTTTCTTTTCTATAATTTTTTCTATATTTTTATCGCGAATGTCTAACGAAATATTTATAACACAGTGCTTGATCTTATTGAAAAAATACATTATCATAAGCAAGCAAAAATAAAAACATTTTAAACCGTTTAAGGAGAAAAAAAAAACAAATTGATTATTTTAATGAGTTTTAATACTAGGTTTAATCCTTCAATTACCGTGTCTGCGAGATAAATTTTAAACATTTCTATTTTATTGTTTTTTTTTCTTTAATGAATTCCTCAACTGCGTTATCTCCCTCCCAATATATATTTTTGGTAATAAAAAAAAGAGCGGTCGATAATAATTAAAATGTAAACCATCACATCAATGCATATTGCTTTTCTCAATTATATTAACTGTGATTATATCTAAATTAGTATGAAATACGTATGTATATAATCGTGTTTTACAATTTCACAGTTCATTTAATATTGAATGTTTTATCGAGTTAAAATAATTACGAGCTTTTCTTTATAATAAATCCCTTGTTCAAATTACTTAACAAATGTTGAATACATTTTTATTGTTTAGCTTTGGGGTCGATGAACTATCTCTAACTACCCTCTTTCGCTAATTAGTATAATCGCACTTAACTTGTAATTTTTTTTTTTAAACAGATTATTATTCTATTTAGAGCGAAAAAAAAAAGATCTTCGATTTGCTAACTTATATGACGTCGTTATATTTCATATAAAACACGGCTAGAGATACGCATAGGTACGTGCTTTATAAAAATGAACGCGATTGCAGTACTTACTAGCGCGTAACTTCATTACAATTGCAAAGCTTTATCGAGACTATAGTACCCGATAAAACACTTTTAACATACATACATATACATACATAATAATAATAATATCGACGCTCGAAAGGCAAACATGACTAAGCGACAATGCGTGAACTTAACAGATTTAAAGTTGAAATAACTGAAAACAAAATTTATTTTAACTAATCCAGCTGTAGTAGGTCCACTGGTGGTAGGACCTCTTGGGAGTCCGCACGGATAGGTACCACCGCCCCGCCTATTTCTGCCGTGAAAGCAGCAATGCGTTTCGGTTCGAAGGGTGGGGTAGCCGTTGTAACTATACTTGAGACCTTAGAACTTGTATCTCGAGGTGGGTGGCGTATTTACGTTGTAGATGTCTATGGGCTCCAGTAACCACTTAACACCAGGTGGGCTGTGAGCTCGTCCACCCATCTAAGCAATAAAAAAAAAAAGTAGAATCTAGCTAGTAGCTGTATGATTGAAATGATTTTAATAGACCTAGAAATATATATTTTTTTGCGCATCGAATATGGTTATTGCCTGTCATTTATGTACAAATCAGTTATTGTCGCTTAGTCACTTTTGCCTTTCAAGCGTCGATATATTTTCTTTCACGTTGACACGAAATACGTGAATGAAGTGTAAATACAATATTCTGTTCGGAAACAAAAGTGTACTTGTTAATAATGAAGGCCGAGATCGTAAAGCTTTTTAAATGTTGCCGTGTTTCTTACAAATTACATTACTATTACATGGAAATTAACCCTTTAACTTCCATGTCGGTCACCGGTGACCTACGCGGGGCACTGAAGTAATTATGTCGATTTCTGTTACTAAACACCTGTGTTACCCACTTTTACCTTCTTTTGTTGGAACGAAGTTCCTTATCGCGCGTTGTGAAAGGGGGCTAGACGGAAAAAATTCTTACGAAAAGTTGTCACGACACTTTTTAGATCCGTCATTCTGACCAATCAACGTGTAGGCGCTTATCGCGTGACATTGCGCGTATCCGATTGGTCCGCGTAATGAGTACAGTTTCTCGAGATAGCGTTTCAACAATAGTAATTCAGTTCATAGTATTGTTTTTTTCTTCTTCATAATGCCGTAATTTATTATTATAACTTAAAAAATAACACTAATTAATCGAAAGGAACTTCGTTCCATCCGGGTGTCTCTTGACACCTCTGAAGTTTTTTTTTATATATATATATATATGTTTTATCTTTTAAGTCTCTCAGAGATAGATTCGTCCTCAGTATCTTCGGATTAGTCTTTCCCAGATCTATATATTAAATACGTGATGGAAAAACTTTGTATCCCTTTTTACGAAAATTGCGCGGACGGAGGTGTATGAAATTTCCCACACTTATAGAGAATGTAGAGAACGAATGCAGAATGTTAACATTTTTTTTAAATTATGCCTATAAAATACGTTAAATCAATAAATAAATAAAACATTACACACACTACCGTGTATTTGACACACACACACTACCGTGTATTTGACGCACACACGCATGCATACTATTTATTTATTGTCAAACTTTTGTTCTTGACGTCTGTGCTCAAATTGAAAATAGATTAAGTATTGTTTGGCTTTATTAATATTTTTTCTATAGTGTAGTCTTGGCGAAATTTGAGATTATATTAGTATAATCTTTGAAAATAATAATAATAGTGTACAAACTTATAATTTCAATTAATTATAGTCGAATTTCGGACTACCGGGGGACCGCTAGTTCTAATAGATATTCCAGCGCGTTAATAAGAAGATCGAAGAGAGAAATCGAAACAATTACTTCAGTGCGCCGCGTGGCAATCAAAAGGTTAAAGACTTAAATTTTTATTTGACTGTGAACTCAAACACCACGTTTTCGTGACGCGAATTCATTATAAGATCTAATAATGTGTTATTATAATAAAAAAAAAGAAGATCAACATTTTAAATCGACAGTAAGTATTTTGTGTATTTGAAAAATAAAACCTGATATATATGTATTATATTGTCCTACCGTTACATGGATGTGTGCACTAGTTATTCGGTGCTAAGTTAGATTGGTGTTCACTATAGTCTTTTGGGCACTTTACGGGGGGCTAGCCTTCTCGTTTGATGCTTGGCATCTGCGGCGGGGGCTCGGCTAAGCCCTTCACCTGGAATTAAAGAAATATTCATATCAACATCAATCAAAAAAGTCAGTCAGTTTTACCGGTGGTAGGATGTCTTGTGAGTCCGCGCGGGTAGGTACCACTACCCAGCCTATTTACGCCGTGAAGCAGTAATGCGTTTCGGTTTGAAGGGTGGGGCAGACGTTGTAATTATACAGAGACCTTAGAACTTATATTTCAAGGTGGGTGGCGCATTTACGTTGTAGATGTCTATGGGCTCCGGTAACCACTTAACACCAGGTGTACTATGAGCTTTTCCAACCATCTAAGCAATAATAATAAAAAAATTAAGAATGTCTGATGTTAATAGCTTCTACTACCTATGAGGGTTTGAAGTCTCAATTTTCTTTTCCCTACCTATTTGCTGGTAGTCCTAGCAAGAGCAACGCTTTGCAGCTATTACCACCGGATCCTAACCGCGACCAACTTAGAAAATCCGGCGAGAAACTCAATGGCTCATTTTTATTATTTATTTTTTTAATTGCCTTAGTAGGCAGATGAGCGTACGACCCACCTGATGGTGAGTGGTTACCGCCACCCATGGACTTCAGCAATGCCAGAGGCAGAGCCAAGCTGTCTACCGATTAATCTCAATATACCAATGGTTAAATCACGGGGCGTGGTACCGGCCTTACTACCATACTTTAGTGAAGCGGCAACCAAGACCGGATAACAGACAACAACAAACCTAAGTCGCGATACTTACAATTACAATAAAACTTGCATATATAATATCAAAGTCCTGAACGACATTAGAATCAGTCCTCTACAGAGCAGACTCAATGTGATATTGGGAGTTAGATAAGAAAGTCAAGTGAAGAGAAAACTTCTGATGGAAGATTAGCCGAATCATGAATACCAGTCAGCGCTAGAAATACAGCAAAATCTATATTTATATTTTAATATTATAAAGCTGAAGAGTTTGTTTGTTTGAACGCGCTAATCTCAGGAACCGAACCAGGTCCGATTTGAAAAATTCTTTCAGTGTTAGATAGCCCATTTATTGAGGAAGGCTATAGGCTATATAACATCACGGTAAGACTAATACAAGTGGAGCACCAATAAATAATGTTTCAAAATAGGGGCTTAAATAGCTCCTTAACATTATATAATTCATAAATATTTTCACTTTCTACGTAAATGAAGTGGGGGTAAAATTTTGCGTTATGCCAAAGTAACTATTTCACGCGGACGGAGTCGCGGGCAAAAGCTAGTGTTTTATATATTCATTTACCTTAAGTCTTGCGGCAGTCTTGAGGAAGGCCGGCAGCTGTTCCTGTGAAACGTTAACTTCGCCGGCGTACATGAACTCTAAAATGGCTTGCAGATGTAGATAAGACACGTCTTTTAGAATTATTATCGGATGTTTCGAAGGATTTTCCTGTGGATTTACGAAAAAAAAATCTTTAAATAGCTACCTACTACCGCTGGTGCCTTTTGACCAATAATGAATTATAGTTTAAAAAAAACTAACGAAATACGCTTTTATAGAAAATCCAACTAAAAAATAGAAAATAAATTTTAATAAATTTGAATTAAAAATAGTGTAAGACAAAATGATTTTATTGTTAATATAAAGCGTGAGGTGCTTTTCAGGTAATTATCAAATTAATCCTTCTACGCATATCTGTTCATAAAATATTTATAACTACTGATACCATGCACCCCACGCTATTTTTTTAAAATAAAATCATTTTTTCTAACACTATTTTTATCTCAAATTTATTAAAATTTATTTTCTATTTTTTACTTGAATTTTCTATAAAAGCGTATTTTGTTACTTTTTTAAAAATATTATTTAAATTTGATTTTTTAGTTGAATTTAATTTTTTGTCAATTTTTTTTTTAAATATTGAATTGTCATCGCTCCTTAATAAGTATACCAAATTTCGAGATAATCCGACGTTTTGATGGGGATCAAAATCATGTTCAAAGATTCCGTTACAAACATACATACGTCTGAAGCTAATATAAGCGTATTAAAAAAAACATAAATACATAACAATGACGAACTAGAGATTTGCTAGGAAAAAAAACCTTCCATATTCGCTGGTAACCTGCAGGGCTATTACAGCTACGCGCGGTTGATTCGAAAGTTAGAAAAGTTCGTTTGAATAATCTCTGTTTTTTTCTTTCTTATCTCTCTTGGTAAGCGAACGAAACCTTTTAGCCCGTAATACCTAGACGATTTCTACTATTGACCACTGAGCAATCACACATAGTCTTCGAATGATTTTTTAAAATATATTTTTCAAGGGGAAAATCGTTTCGATATTAGCGGAGAGCTTTCCCATAGCGAAATTGCATAGGATATATCTTGGGCGATGAAAATATCTGAAATAAACCAGACGCGCCGTGTACTTTTAATGTACGTTCGCGATTTATACTTTTATATAATGCCAGTAAATTGGTATTTACAAAGCACCTTTTTTTCCCTACCTATACTGATAGACTTGAGAGGCTACTTCAGCTATGCCCTGACGAGTAGGTGAGCTCACGGGCTCAACCTGAGAGAATAGTTAACACTAGCCCTAACAAGAGCAGTTTTTCGCAGAATCTACCACGGGAAAGGAAACGCGACCCACTGAGAAGAACCTGCATGAGACTCAAGGGGTATTAAAGCTCTAAAGATGATTTAAGACGTGGATGTTATAACAAAAGCTAGATGTGTCCATAATAGCCATACTCTCTGATGAACCGAACAGATTTATCTGTACACGATACTTTGACAATATCGTAATTTATCAATTTTTTTTTTTTCCCTTACGCTCTACATCTAGAATATTTATTAACCTGTGTCTAATAATTCGTGAATTCTCGATACGGACAGCAAATGTTATTGCGAATACACTATAATAATACGAAAACATTTACAGGATGTTACTGTAATGAGAGACACCCGATTTCAAAACTAGCTTTAGTATTGTATACCATTATTATAAAAACAGAAAATCCATCATATTTTACAGGCACGGATTTCTAAACATTTTCCTTTTTGTAAATCATTTAATTTAAATTTGTGTATTATTTAATTTTTTGTGTCAAAAATGATACGAAATATTCACGATCGACCCATTACGCATTCCATTGCCGGCTCATAGAGAATAAAATAAATACTAAAACGATATGTATTTGACTCAAACGACAAATATGGCTTAAATCTGGAAGCATTGCAGCATGCTTGCTTTGCTTTAAAAAGTGAATTTAAATGATAATGTGGAACAGTAAACATAGGATGCACTGATAAAGCCTGTATTCTATTTAGATGATTTCCAATTGAAAACAATATACACTATGGTCCAAAAGTTTGGAAACACTAAGAAAATGTAGCAAATGTACTCGGCTTTGCCTGGGATCATGTTATTTGCCATGATAAAAAGTATCATAAGTATAAAGGTTACAAAATAATTAAAAATATCAACCAAATTCGTTCAGCATATGTTTCGAGCAAAAAAAATCCTTATAAAAAACTCATTTTTATTTTGCTATAGGAAGAATTTCACATGTAATTTTATTACGTATAAAAGGTTTTTTTTTTTATTGCTTAGATTGGTGGACGAGCTCACAGCCCACCTGGTGTTAAGTGGTTACTGGAGCCCATGGACATCTACAACGTAAATGCGCCACCCACCTTGAGATATAAGTTCTAAGATCTCAGTATAGTTACAACGGCTGCCCTACCCTTCCAACCGAAACGCATTACTGCTTCACGGCAGAAATAGGCAGGGCGGTGGTACCTACCCGCGCGGACTCACAAGAGGTCCTACCACCAGCAAAATTGTTTCCTAATAGGAAATTAATTTTAAAAAAAAATTAATAGGAAATTGTTTCCTATTAATCTATTAACTTTTTTGGTCTAATATGTTTGGTAGTGACCAAAGTCACACCAATCATATATCAGTGTACATTTAGTAGTAATAGAAAATAATCAATCAAAAGCAAGTCATCTGTTTTAAAATCTGTATACATTTTTGATTAAATGCAATCAGGTCAATCATGTCTCGGGCACAATTGTCGTACACAAGCAATTGACTATTACAATGCAGTGCTAATAAGATGCCAACATCAGCCAATTGTGAACATGCTTAACACAGTGAAGATTGTGGTTCTCTTTTTGTAACATTAAATCAAAGCTAGTCAGATTGTTATACATATGAACAAACTTAACACTGGCCTGTTGTCTATGTATGTGACATTAACATAATGTAAAACAGATAAAATGATTGAAGTAAAAAACCAATAGGATCTCAATATACAATCGTATCGACTTAATTTTCTATATATTTTTGTTTAGACTTGTTTTACAATATAGTAAAATACACCAATCAGTAATCATCAGGCACTAATGGATAAACAATGTGCCTCATTACACACTCTGTGAATACACTAAGCAACTGTGATTGAATCGATCTGATATTGCACAATCAGAACCACTTAACGACAAAAAAAAAACAAAATAATTCACTAGCATGCTTCTAAACATACCTCTAATAGACTTTTGAAGTACGGACTACAGGCAGAGAGAACCATTTTATGTGCCTTACACGTCTGTCCTTCACATGCTAATGTAACCTGAAAATTACAAACATGTTATACATTCCATAAATTTAACACGTAAAACTTATCATGCAATCGTTGCATGAGAACACATTGATGATTTCAATGCTTATCATCCCAGGTCACAGTAACACAATCTCAATTACGATTTATTAATTAGTATTTTGTTTTTTACGCATTACAGTTGAATACTATAATCTTATTGCTGTAATTTAAAATAAAGGTTTTTTATAAAGGTTAAGCATTTATATATTTAAATTGTTATTTAATGGTGCTAGTCCATTAGTAAGTCCGAACAGATAGCACCAAACCTGCCCAATTATGTTACAAGCAGTCACCGTTTTTGGTTTGACGGGTGGACAGTTATATAATGAGAGTGAAATTTCAACCTTATATCTTATTGCATATGGTAACATTCACTCCAGTAATCACTAGATAGCATACTATGTGCATACTGATCAAAATGAATCTTAATTTACTGATATGATACACCTAAGAATAATTACTGTGTGGCATTTGCCAGAATGTTGTTAGAATCTAAAACAAAAATGGTATCAAGGTTCTTCTTAACATTCCCTTTTGTCTTAAGGACTAGCTTTGTGATCAATAAATATCATTAACACATAGATAAAATTATTTGAATATTGATTTCTGGTTGGGCTCATTTCAGTTAAGTTTAAAACATGTCTTCAATCGTCGTTGTCTCATCTCTATTCATATTCTCACTATACTTAAGAAACCTGAAACTACTATGTATGTTTGATGTCCATATTAATTCACATTGAAATATAAAAAAAAAAATTATCAATGGTCAAATATCATATTGTATTTAATATTAAACTAATAGTAAAACATGGGATTTGTGAATTGAGTAAAAAATGTAGTTATATTAATTTCGTCACAGAACTGAATCTTGCTCTTCAAAGACTATATTTTATTATTTTGTTGGCTTTATTTTGTTTAATTTCAGGTATCATTCCTGTATGCTTCTTCATGACAAATATTTTTATTTTAAATAGGTAACCAGTAAATCACGTAAGCAAATTATGTCGGTAACTATGGTTCATTAATTACTTGCATTTTTTAAGTGTAAAGTGCTTACAGTGAGGTTATATTATTTGTTTATATACAAGTAATTAAAACCATTACAATACTCACATCTGTAAAACTTTTTTCGTCTCTCAAATGTCTGAACGAAGTCACCATGTTAGTTTGAAAATCGTTCCATTTTAAAAAGAATTGTTGATCACCCATTTTGATGATACTCTGAAATTTCAGATGAAATTTACACAAAGCCAAACGTGATGGTCTAACATTTATACTTCACAGTTATAAAGAATATTCTAAAGACCTAATGTTCCGATGCCATTTTTTAGAAATAATAGTGCAGTTTCTATAGTTTACCTACGTCATTAATTGCAATTCAAAATGATGCTTACCTACGGACACAGTAACTACAATTTCTTTTCGTGTTTAATTCACACGAAACACATTAAATATACATCCAGGGGCGCACGTAATATTTCGAAATCTACACGTAAAAGTTAAGCAATTGAAATCTCAAAATAAAGACGCCGTCTCGCATAATATAGCCACTTCTTTCTATTTCTTAATTTCTTTCAATCAGCTAGACAGGGTTGTCAGCCTTACTATTTTAGATTGTCAAAACTTGAAGGACAGTGGTACCCTAAAGCTATTTATGTATGGCAGTGATTAAAAATGATTTTATCACAATGTTACCTATTCTTTGTCATTTTGATTGCTCACAATTTATACAAACAGGTCATAATCAAGATTTTATTTATTTTTGTTTTTAATACAACAAGTGTTTCGAAGTGATTCATAATACAAGAAATCACTTGTATTAAAAACAAAAATAAATAAATTCCTGTTGAAGGCCTGTTTATTTTCGAGTTCTGAACAAGCCTTCTTAAAGTTCTTCGCAAAAATTTGAACAAGCTATAGTTAATCTATTAGAGGTTAGTGTTATTTTTTTTATTTTGCTCCTTAATACGTATCTGTGTTCAATTTACTATAGTTTTTATTATATGGAATAAAATTTACGTCTCTTCGTCAAGTCTATGTACCTATATCATCTTGAGAAAATACTAATTCTTATCTGCTATGTTTGTCAAATATATCATTATTCAATAAAAAAAAGAAACAAAGAAAAAAAGAATAGTCCAAATAAAATAAAAATAGAATTGTTTCATAAAAGATCGAACATACATTGGTATCCCTGATTTGATTGGTTTTATTTTTTGTTTAATTCATCTATTAATCAGGCAAAGGAAGTACAGCCCATAATGAATATTGTGAAAATGAAACTGATCGTTGAAATGAATTTGTACTTTTTGTCGGGAACCATCACAATTTTAAGAGCTTTTTTTAGAATATTGATAATTTAGCGTCTGTCTAATTAGTAGTTGCTGTTTGTAAATAGGCTTGTTGCTTATCTGTGAAAAGGCATATGTATGGAAAAAATAAACAAAATGTAGAAATTATCGTAGCCTGAAGCATAGATTATACACATAATATGAGTTGCCGGGTAGACTTGTATAAAGCGATGTTACTAACTAGTATTTAAATACAAAGGTAATTTTCTAAAAAGAAATTATTTGATCTCATATTTTAAATTGATAGAACAGACAATATCTTGAATCTGTACAAAAGCACAAATAATATACAATGCTATTTATATACAATTTCTTTTAATCATTCTCATTTCGACACTCCTCTGTCCTTGTTTTTGCTCATATATCACTTGAGTGTTTAGTACAATATTTTTTATTACAATTAAAAGGAAACTTTATTTTGTTATTGAGCTTTCGCTTGATCTGTGCTGTGTTTATTCGGTATAGTATCAATGAATCATTATTAAAATTTGTATCAATGCCATCTATCGCTGAGTAGCATGCATTAACTATCAATGTGCAACAGCGCCATCTAGTAGTAGATTGCAGTACTGTAATCGCTAAAATAAAATTGTCAAATTTAAATAATTGTATTCGCAAATTGCTTAATCATATTCCACTGGTTTTGCTAATTAAGCTAAAAACTTTCGAACCAAATACCTAACGCTCGACTTGCATCACTCGACGAAGAGGAGAGCTTATTGCACCTAATCTCTTTTTAAACAATTAAAGCAAGCTTAACGAAGCAGGAAACAAAAGAAAACCCTTCGTTTAAAATATACTTATTTAACTTATTTTTACTGTCTTTTTTGCTGTTCTTAATCTTTTCTTATGCCAGGGACCACCTGTAATATTGTCAAGAGTTTATGGAGCGGTTTTTTTGAACCCGATTTTCTAATTAAGGATTACCTGATCTCACAAAGAACATTAAATATTATGTATACTAAATATCATAAACGAAAATAAACAGGTTTCGTGTGAAAATTTATAATGAATGAAATTTTATAATGCTTACTAGGTCAATGTAGAAATCATTATTTATTTATTTATTGCTTAGATGGCTGGACGAGCTCACAGCCCACCTGATGTTAAGTAGTTACTGGAGCCCATAGACATCTACAACGTTAATGCCGCCACCCACCTTGAGATATAAGTTCTAAGGTCTCAAGTATAGTTACAACGGCTGCCCCCCCCCCCCCCCCTTCAAACCGAAACGCATTACTGCTTCAAGGCAGAAATAGGCAGGGTGGTGGTACCCACCCGCGCGGACTCACAAGAGACTGTCATAAACTATCATCAATCCACCAATTGTATCCACCAATATATCGCTAAAAAGAATACTATAATTTTTTATCTTATGCGTGCGAACGCTTGTATTTTTATATCCGAAACGCACTCAATATTTTTTTATTAGAGTTAACTAGGAACGAAAAAATAAACCTAATATGGCTTAGTGTAGAATTTGTTTTTCTGCACCACGCACATGTAACTGGCTACTCATTCTTAATTTGGAGATAAGAGGAAAAGGACCATATTGCATGGTGATAAAGTTGAAAGGGTGTATGTTCATTTAATAGTTCAAGGAATTTCCAAAATGGCACCGATGGTATCCTAGGTCAGGATTCGATGAACTTAATTGATAATAATTGAGTTGCCGATATTTTTATTTTTTCACGATTATTATGTTAATTATTTCTTCAAGTTCACATTCATATTTTAGATCAGCCTTTCCCAAAGTGGGCGATAACGCCCCCTTGTGGGCGCTGCATGCCTAAAGGGGGGCGGTGAGAGACCCTGAAAAAAAATGGGGGCGTTGTGTAGAGGCTTGGGAGGCGATTTGTAATTTCATCTAGGACTCTTAGACACCAACTGAGTTCTGGTTATAATGGTTTTTAAGTAGGTGAAAAAATGGGGGCGCTAAAAAATAATTTATTCTCAAAGTGGGCAGTAGACCAAATAAGTTTGGGAACCCCTATTTTAGATCATAATATATATATTTTAAATCAGATAAGTCTGCTTCCTAGTGAGGCATTGTTATATGTGAAAAAAAAAAAAAAACAATTTCTATTTAATACACAATATTTATTTATTTGTCACAAGAAAGAAAACGTTTTTAAAACGACACTTACATTGCATTTAGTAAGAGAGGCATAATGTGAATTATCAAGGACACATTGAAAGATTTGAAAAAAAAAAAAAATTGACATTTTAAATATATTGTATTAAAATCTTAAAATTCTAGTAATATTTTTAAACACACACACACTACTACATTTGAAAGGCCAAGCGGTGTTGCCAAAATACTTAATACTAAATTCCTTATATATTAATGTTTCGATTTAAGTACGAGATTATATCAACAATAATATTCTAGTTAAGATAATATGGTAATAATTAATAAATTTTTAAAATTCACACACACTTCTACTATTCATCTCAAAAGATATCATCAACTTCACATCTATATTAAGGTCCGTGCACATAAAATATTAATAATCGTTAGCAATTACCACTACATATTAATTTAATACGATTTCATAATAATCATATTTCATTAACTATAATTGACATGAAGCAGGAATCAAAATTGATAATCGATAACTAAACTTACTTTGGTATACTTTATTTATATTTAGAAATTAGAACCGAGATCTAAACTTTGCTCAGTATTTATTAAGCTCTGTCCTGCTCGCACTTAATTACAATAGTTGAAAATAGAACAGGAAGAAAACGCTAAGTGTTATATTATTATATAGTATGTCTATAAAATATAATAATAGTTTGTCTCACTCAATCGCTACGTGCATGAGAAGAATTTTTTTTAAGTATTCAAGCATTGGACTAAAAGTGTCAAGGAAATAGAAATACACATATGAAAAACTTAATTAACAATTACTATTAACATTACTATTAGTACGAAACAGGTGCTTAGAATATATATAAACAAAAAAATCACAATACAAAAATTATTAATCAATACAGAAAATCGTTTTTCTAATAGCCATAGTTTTTTTTTTTTTTTATTTCGACTAATATTAGTAGCTACTAAAATTCTAATTGTAAAGAATTATTTCGTTGTCAAATAACGTAATCCTATATTGCTTATTGTTATTACTAATGCTATCTTATATTTAACACGGCTAAAAATTTTATTTATTTATTTGGTATAATATATATATATATTTAGCATTCTCATAATATACAAAGCATGTTCGGACTTAGGTATATTCTAGCGTATGATCTCTTTCCCATATTACAGGGAGACTATATACTAAAGCTACCCTAAAGAGTTTTAAACCCATAAACGAAATGTTGCACCATTAAAAAAATAAAATCTAAATAAAACTCTTTAATTCGTAAATAAAAGTAAAAAAAAAANATATATATATATATTTAGCATTCTCATAATATACAAAGCATGTTCGGACTTAGGTATATTCTAGCGTATGATCTCTTTCCCATATTACAGGGAGACTATATACTAAAGCTACCCTAAAGAGTTTTAAACCCATAAACGAAATGTTGCACCATTAAAAAAATAAAATCTAAATAAAACTCTTTAATTCGTAAATAAAAGTAAAAAAAAAAATACTTTAAACTAATCTTTCCCGTTTTGGTAAACGTTAGTCCACCGAGGATACTCATTCGTTTAAAAAAATAAAAAAAATAAAAATGTACACTTATTTTAAAGAGATCTTAGTCTTTACACACATTAAAACATATTTATATTAATAGTCTTTGTCAATAGAAATGCCATGGATTTGAGCAAAATAATTTTTTGAGTTTACGAACGAACTAATAGAGTTGAAATAAAAAAAGATAGTGCTTTAAGAAAGATACGAAAAGATTATGCTTAATTTCCTTAATCGAAACTTAGTGCTATCATTGGTTGAAGGCTGGTCACACAAGACCGACCGGATACTATGAATGTAAAAAAAGTCTAATCCTTATTTTGGTATATTAGCTTAGTTTAATCGTTTCAATATTGACTAGACAATTTTGGATTTGCGAAAATTAAAAAAAAAAAAGGTTTATTTGGCTGTTTGTTTTATACTACATGTGCCGGTGAGTTTGAAAACGAATTTCACCATTTCATGACCACAGAAAATAGAAGTTGAGCTAATTTTTTTTTTAAATATAAAGATTGAAAAGGTAATGGTGAACTACGTTCTATACGTGCCGCGACTAGATGGAAATGCTCGTTACAAAAGATATGTGTGCTCACAAAACTGGCTAACACTAAATACAATATGTGAGTAAAACTTACAACTACAATAGTCATACACTAAATGTACTTGTAACTGGCACTAAACATTAAATCTTCGTTTGTTTTTTCACCCAAATCTAACAATAAGACACTACCGGACGGCATTCGGATTTTGAATAAGGCAGCTGAAGGCACCGAAAGCGTATTTACAAAGCGAATAGTTCCGCTACTCGTTGATAGATGGCGTCGCATCGATTTAACGTTGCGCTCGAAGTTGTACCGGGAGTGCTAGTCCTCGCGGCGCCAGGACGAGCCTGGCTGGAGCCACGAGGACTAAAGCGTACTCTCATTTGTTGACTCCGAGTATTTTCGCTGCCTCGTCGGCCGATGAGAGCAGTTTGTTGATGGTCTTGTCGGGGATTCCCAGTAGCTTCCCGATGAGGTCGCTTCCGTTTTCGCCTTCGATTTCGGCCTCCGATGAGTACTTCCTCGACACCATGTCGAGCTTTAGTTTCTTCTCGTAGGGGCCGGAGGGCGGCGAGTTGTTGTTGTTCACGTTGCTCGGGGTCTCCGGTCCGGATCCGGCGTCCTCCCGGTACAGATACCTACGAACAGACAGCGCCACTGATTAGTCACCGTTCAAACCGTAAACGAATTAGAATTCTAAACCACAGACACAGCCCACTTCGCATTCGTCGTTTATGACGAAGAGTTCACAGAAGACGGTAATTATTTTTATATTTTTTATATATATATATATATTTTTTTTATTGGGCATAGGCAGACGAACATACGGCCCACCTGATGGTGCGTGGTTACCGTCGCCCATGGACGTCAGCAATGCCATGGGCAGAGCCAAGCCGCTGCCTACCCATAGGCACATTCTACTAAGTTTCGCGCCGGATCTTCTCAGTGGTCGCGTTTCCGATCCGGTGGTAGATTCTGCGAAGCACTGCTTTTGCTAGGGCCAGTGTTAGCAACACTCCGGTTTGAGCCCCGTGAGCTCACCTACACGTTAGGGCGAAGCTGATATAGCCTCTCAAGGCTATCAGAATAGGTAGGAGAAAAAAAAACTAATTTGATTCGTAAGCGAAATTGTGCAATTAGATAACGATTTGCTAATTACGTTTTAGAGTTTTTTTTGTTAGGTAATGAGTGTTATAAAACTTTTGTAATACTATTTATATATTGCAGAGTTCAGTAATGTAGGCTAAAGTGTTGACACAGCACAGATTTGATTCAAATTAGATTTGTAGAAATAACTGATGATTTTTTTTAATTTTTTTTAATTGCTTAGATGGGTAGACGAGCTCACCTGGCCACAGCCCACCTGGTGTAAAGTGGTTACTGGAGCTCATAGACATCACGCAAATGCGCCACCCACTTTGAGATATAAGTTCTAAGGTCTCAAGTATAGTTACAACGGCTACCCCGCCCTTCAAACCGAAACGCATTACTGCTTCAGGCAGAGTGGTGGTACCCACCCGCGCGGACTCACAAGAGGTCCTACCACAGACAGACTCTTACCCGTTGGCTTCGTTGTCGACTGGGGTGTTCGGAGGCGAAGTCTCTTCGTCATCAGTGTGGTCCTCCCTGTGCTTCTTGCGGTGACGGAGCATGCTGTGCTTCAGGGTGAACCTTCTGCAGCAGAGGTCACAAGCGAACGGCCTCTCGCCGGAGTGCGTCCTCATGTGGCGACGCAGGTCCTCAGCGGACCAGAAGCGGCGGACGCAAAACGCGCAGACTACCTACGTAAGCAGAGCCGTTAATATTTATTTTCAGTAGATAGATTTAGTCAGAATATCATTGAAAAAGTTTTTAACTTCAAACATCTAAAGGTTTTTTTTTTATTGCTTAAATGGGTGGACGAGCTCACAGCCCACTTAGTGTTAAGTGGTTACTGGAGCCCAAAGACATTTACAACGTAAATGAGCCACCCACCTTGAGATATAAGTTCTAAAGTCTCAAGTATAGTTACAACGGCTGCCCCACCCTTCAAACCGAAACGCATTACTGCTTCAAGGCAGAAATAGACAGGGCGGTGGTACCACAGTGATTACGCAAATTATAATTTTGCGGGTTTGATTTTTATTACTCGATGTTTATACCTTCACCGTGGAAGTCAATCGTTAACATTTGTTAAGCACATATTTCATTAAAAAAATTGGTACCCGCCTGCGGGATTCGAACGCCGGTGCATCGCTCGACACGAATGCACCGGACGTCTTATCCTTTAGGCCACGACGACGTCATATTTGAATATTCGAATTGTATTTTAAACGATGGTTTACCTTTCGATTAGCGTGGTCGGGAAACTTGCCCCTGTCGTCATCGTCAGCGCTTTCACTCCTGTCGCTGGCCGCATCCAACGCCCCCTTATTCACCAGCTGTTCGTATTCAGTCGCATGTGTGGCTGCCAAATGCGCGAGGGCCCCGCTTCTGTCGCCGAAGGACGCCTCGCACAAATGACACTTGAAAGCGAGGCCCATCTCAGAGTTGTCGTCAATAATCTCCAGGTTTGGCGAGCTCGGCCGCGAATCGGTCCCGTGCCGAGAGGACATGTGCTTCTTTAAAGTTTCTATAGAGGAGAACGTGCTGGTTGGGCATGATGTACATTTGAAAGGCCTCTCTGGAACACTCCTGTTCTCATTCGCGGGCTGGGGAGCCATCACGGTGTCCGGTATGGGCTCGGCGAGTATGGCACGCGCTGACCCCCCATGTTTTCTCAGTAAATGGCGGTCACAATTCGATTTGGTGGTGAAAAGTAGAGGGCAGTGGGGACACTTGAACGGCTTCTGGCCCGTGTGAGTGAGGACGTGACGGCGGAGGGACGAAGACCACGGGAACTTTCTATGGCAGTAAGGGCACGAGACCCTATTCGGTGCGAGACTGTACGCCGATTTCTTTTTCGGTGGTTGTGCGACATCAGATTCAGATCTGTAATAAAGTTAATGATTAATACTGTAAAAATGTAATTTAAATCAATATTATGTTACTTTAGAGTTTTGAATTACTGGTGGTACGAGCTCTTATGAGTCCGCACGGGTAGGTATCTCCACCCTGCTTATTTCTGCCGTGAAGCAGTAATGCGTTTCGGTTTGAAGGGCGGGGCAGTCGTTGTAACTATACTTGAGACCTTAGAGCTTATATCTCAAGGTGGGTGGCGCATTTACGTTGTATATGTCTATGGGCTCCAGTAATCACTTAACACCAGGTAGGCTATGAGCTCGTCCACCCATCTAAGCAATAAAAAAAAATGAACTTACTTATTTTCGTCGCTGCCCGAGTTATTTCCCTCGCTTGTTGAAGCTACCAGGCCTTCTTCATCTTCCTCCTCGTCACTGCGTGTCGGTACAACTGGAACGGTTAGCAAATCTTGTCCTGGTGTAGGGTCGGGTCCAGATTCTGTTTTCTCTGCTATGGGAACTGGTTTATTAATTAAATTGCCTGCTATTTTAAGATCAAAGTCTTTATTGATCTCTTGTTGTCGTGAAGCCATCAGTATTTCGGCAGCTGCTTGTCGGGCTGCAGTGTGTTCTTCGGACTTGGTTTCCACATCCGTTTCCTCGTCAATTATTAGGGCGTCGTCCTCATCTTCTTCATTATCGGCGACTTCATCAGAGTCTCGTCGCGCCGGCGATCTCTCTGACTGCAGTGGTCGTTCAAGGTGATGAGCCAAAAGGGCGAATTTAACGCGATCGGCCAAAGCGTCCGTAGAGGTGTAAGGTGGGGGGCCTCTTTGAGCGGGTCTACGGACACTCCAGTGTTGGGGATGCTGTTGTTTTACATGCCTTTCCATGTTAGATCTCAACGTGAATCTAGCAGAGCACTGTGAGCAAGAAAATGGTCTTTCTGTACGATAGCGTCTTTGTTTCTGTTTTGGCATAAGCACCCCATTTTTAATGACCATCTTTACGGAGTCTGTCTGAGGGACGAGGTTATTGCTCAGGGGTCGGGGAGATTCTGGGTGAGGCGACAGCGCAGGCGATGACATTTGTGGAATTGGCTTTACTTCTTCTTCCTCGGGTTCTTCTTTAGGAACAGTTTCTTGTTCATTTGGAATAAGCCTTCCACCGGACATACTCAGCCCACGGATGATTTCTTTTTGAATACGTTGCTTTATCTCTGCAAGTTCTTGTGTGTCAGAGGGGTGGGGGAAAAACGAGGGTTGAAGAAAGTAAGGAAAAGACGGGGGCAGTGGTAACCCAGGAATTCCTGGTACCGCACCAGCGTATATTTGAGATAGATGAGTAGCATAGTAAGCTGGGTCAATTTTTGGGAGCGACGTTTCAAATAATCTTTGCTGGGCTAAGAGTAGTCTCGTTTTTTCTAATGCCGAAGCAGCAACGGACGCAGGATCTGGTTCGAATGTAGGGCGTACAGGGGTTTTGCGTTCATCGTCGGCGTCGCGTTTCTTTTTGCTAAGATCAAGGACATCGCAACTGTTATTATCACTCGTGCTTAGGTCAACAGGGACCTCTTCATCATACGTTTCGGAATGAGCGTCATTGGTTTTGTAATTTTGTTCTGGTGATCTGAATTCAGGGATTTGATTTAACTGACCGATTCCTTTCACTTTGATCCTTGGCGTGGGACGGTCTGATTCGCGCAAAAGCGGCGCTTCCGGTAAAGCTTTCGATGTAAGTGTTGTGACCGGATGTCTTTCGGTAATGAAACTAGGCGTAAAATGAGTTAGCGGAGTCACGCGACCAGTGCTCTCATTTCGCCTATCCATATCTGGGGTGTGGAACGCGAGAGATCTCTTGACTTCATCGCGTGCGAGCTTCGAGTTGACTTCGTCATTATTCGGATCTTCGGACGGATGGTAAATGATGGAGCGTTTTACATCTTCACGGGTTACTTTGGCGTGTCTGTTTCTTAAATGTCTCTCGCAGTTTGCTTTCGTAGTGAACGCGTAATTACACACCGCACACTCATATGGACGATCACCGTTATGTGTCCTCATATGTCTCACAAGAGCCGCCTTATCTAAAGATGCGTGTGGACACATGTTGCACTGATAAGGGCCCGGTCCTGTTCCACTTAGGTGGACTCTGTTATGGCCCTTTAAAGCTCTAAGATTGGGAAATTTAGCTGGACACAAGCGACAAGGGAACTCTCCCCGAAGCTTCATCCTCCTGAATTCAGCGGCAAAGTTATCCTGTGTCTCTTCAGTCTCTCGTTCTTTAACGACGGTGTCTGGAGGCGTAAGTACAGTGCTCTCTAAAGCTACTCTGTTACCAGTGAGTCTCTCGAGAAGACTCCCCGCAGACGTGACGTTCAATATCGATTGAATATCTGCCAAATCTCGAGCTGCATCGATATGTCTTATACCGTTAGTCGCGAGATGTCCGTCTTCGAACTTCGATGTAAATCTCTCCATCGGCGGCGTCAACGTGCCCGGAATCCCGAACGATTTGGTCCGCAGATCTAGATTAGCCAAGAATTCTTCTCGTCTGTCGCGTATCGGACTCAAGCCACGATTCGGTGTGCATGTTTTCCTGTGAATCTCAAATACTTGAATATTGGGGAGATCCCTCGAGCACACGTCACATTTGTATCGTTGTTCGGTCGATGAGACGTGGTTCCTGGCACGTATGATTTCTGGAATCTTCTTTGTCGAGTAGTCGACGAGACTAACCTCGTTGTGGCCCGTTCTTGAATCATCTCCGTGCGCTGTGAACCGATGAATGTCGAAAGCGTTGACCGAATCGAAACGCTGGCGGCACTTCGGGCACTCGAAGCGAGCGACCCTCTTGTCCATCGGGATGGGAGAAGGAGAAGTGGACGCGGCCCGCTTTCGCGCCCTTCTGACGTCCTCATCGTCGCTCCTATCCGAACGGTTGTCGCTGTCGATACTAGTCGTACGATTCCTCATTTCCTGTTGTTCAATTTTCACTTTATCCATTTCCTCGTCGGCTTCGATTTTAGCCTCGCTGATGTCCTCTGTTTTGATTTCTGTAACAAAAGAATACATGTTTTCAATTGATTACGAATGTTTGAATAACGCAGGACGCTTTCATTTCACATTTCCAAGAAAAGTCGACAATAGATGAGTCAGGCAATTCACTTGTGGTGTGACCCCGCAATAAAATAATGAGCTATAGGCGTCAGGCGGCAACCATTCATCCACACAATCAGCTAATAGATTTAGGGTAAATTGTTGTTTGCTCTACTCGACAAAAGATGGCGACATGAAAGCATTTCGCCTTTTTCAATGTTTTTGTTTTGAAACAACGAAAATATTGAAAATATATTCATTTCAATCATCAATTTCATATCACCGATCTATATTCCTTAAGAGAACAAAAATTCTCGTGAACAATTCGAGACGAATCTCTATATAATTTTTTAACAGCAAACCAATGATGTCTCATGTTCACCACAATTCAATCTTTCCCAAACATATTACATCCCACTACAAGTCCTCGTGTGATTCATCGGTTCTATCTTTTGTTCGTTATGTTTTCATTCTATAATAGACTCTATTCCGTAATTATTAAGCCGATAGTTCTGCGTGACGGAGTTTAGTAGAACTTAAAATCAATAAGCCGACACGTAGGTCACAGACTAACAGGCGCGGCTATAAGGGTATCTGCCTAGAATTATCATGATATAGATTTTCTGGTTACGCTGCATTTAAAACAATATTATAATTTAAAGCCTGTTTGGAGTTAAGTTAAACTCGCTTTTAAACATTGTTTGATATTGGAATACCAACTTCGTGACAAATTTTTTTTTTTTTTGTATTGCATAGATGTGTGGACGAGCTCACAGCCCACCTGGTGTTAAGTAGTTACTGGAGCCACTAGACATCTACAACATAAATGCCGCCACCCGCCTTGAGATATAAGTTCTAAGGTCTCAGTATAGTTACAACGGCTGCCCTACCCTTCAAACCGAAATGCATTACGCATCACGACAGAAATAGGCGAGGTGGTGGTACCTACCCGTGCGAACTCACAAGAGGTCCTACCACCAGTAATTATGCAAATTATAATTTTACACCGATACACCTTGAGGTGGGTGGCGCATTTACGTCGTAGATGTCCATGGGCTCCAGTAACCACTTAACACCAGGTGGGCTGTGAGCTCGTCCACCCATCTAAGTAATAAAAAAAAGTGATATGTTACATAATTTGCATACGTCACAGGCATCATATTATGTTGATGTAAAACCGCAAAGTGTGGTGCAAACCAAACTTTGTAGTAAAAACCGTTTATTGAACGAATTTGAGTCATTGCGGACGTCAGTACAATCCTCACTTTGTAATATGCATTTATTGATTTTTATATTATTATTAATTCAATTAACATAATTCACAATTATTGAATTAATATTCAATTCGATTGATTCAATAATTGTAATGTTGCTTTGAGTTTAAACGTTTTTAGCTGTTATTGAGGGCTCACTTTAGGCGCGGAGGCCTTTCCGGTTTCACAAGGACAGGTGGGCGAGCAAGAGCTCAGCCAGAAGGGGCGGGATTTGCTAACAGCTACCCGAGCGCCTCCAAGGGAGACCTAACAACTCAAGAGTAGCTGCTTCGCGAATGAATCTACTGCCGGATCGGAATCGCGACCCGCTGAGAAGATCCGGCGAGAAACTCAACGGCTGATGCAAGCTTTGTAAAGTATCACCTTGTTCCGAAGGGACATTTTACTCCGCTTACAGATCATGGGGTGGAGTCTGCCGAGAATAAACGCGGCACGGTCGCGGACTGAGCGATTCGCGTTTTGATGGTATCAGAAGTAGCCGATTGCCGTAGCACAAATAATGACGATGGACGACCGTAAAGAAGAAATATTCATTTTTAATTTTGTAAGGGCTAACCAAGCCAGTGTAGTAATAGTGCACTATTTCGCTCCAAATAACCAAAGTCGTATGTACCTAACGGCCTGTGTGTTAATGACATGAGGAAAAAAGAGCATTTGCGAGAACTCGCACGAGAATGTATAGTAATGTCGCCAGAATTTGCAAGTAGTGGGGGGCACGGTCCAACCAGTAGTAACTACCACGGCTTCTTTCTGCCATAAAAAATCAAGATATACGGTTTGTAGGGTGGATAGCCGTGCAATGCAATTGAGATTTCTGTTGACTCCGAAAAATTTTTAACACCTCGCGAAAGAATCATTCATCACTTTACTATGTCTCAAAATTGTTTACGGTATCCACGTTGGGGTCTCTGTTGGCTAAAAAACCGCTAAAAATCGAAAAAGACGTGAACTTGTTTATCCATTAACGACTTAAAAAATAATGTCTAAATAATTCGGATGCAAAATACATAACTATAATTTACCTTAAAACTGGGTTTAATTGAAGATACGCAATCGTAAATGCTCAAACGTCATCCGTTTACATATACGTAATTATAGTTCATTGCTTAAATAATCACGATTGGTTAATGTGTATTCGCAACAGACTGAACGCTATCTCGTTTGCTAATTAGTAACCTGCGGTACGAGTTAATTACGTATCATTTTCATTGTCGTGTGTTTCTTTATTCAGATAACGACATCCGGACTCGTAGGTATGCGAAGACGAATTTACGATTTTTCGGGAATATTATACCAAGTTGTATTCATGGTGGTGGTTTCACATTGCGAGGAAAGACGGCGATAACCTGGAAAAACTTATGATCACAGGGAAAGTTGAAGGCAACAGATCTAGAGACCGCAGTCATACTCGTTGGTCCGATCAGATCCGCACCGCTTTGGACAGTACAGTGTACAGCGCGCTGCATGACGCCGTGGACAGGGGAAAGTGGAAAAAGATCTTAAGATTGAAGCTCATGGGTGATGGTGGTCACGACCCTCAGACATGAGGAACACGACTCGAGGAGGAGGATACCAAGTACTTTTCGAGAAAATTGCGTAAAACCATTACCGACGCGATTCTGGTTTTAGTTTCGCGTCTTTAGCGTCTGCAAACGGTATGGGTGCTTTAAGATTTAGATCAATTATTACGAACGCATTCAATTGGATTTATTGGATATGGTATGAAATCGTCGTGGTCTAAAGGATAAGACGTTGGGTGCATACGTGTTGAGCGATGCACCGGTGTTCGAATCTCAGGCGGGTACCAATTTTTCCAATGAAATACGTACTCAACAAATGTTCACGATTGACTTCTACGGCGAAGGAATAACATTGTGTAATAAAAATCAAACTCCCAAAATTATAATTTGCGTAATTACTGGTGGTAGGACCTCTTGTGAGTCCGCGCGGGTAGGTACTACCACGCTGCCTATTTCTGCCGTGAAGCAGTAATGCGTTTCGGTTTGAAGGGTGGGGCAACCGTTGTAACTATACTTGAGACCTTAGAACTTATATTTCGAGGTGTGTGGCGCATTTACGTTGTAGATGTCTATGGGCTCCAGTAACCACGTAACACCAGATGGGCTGTGAGATCGTCCACCCATCTAAGCAATAAAAAAAAGATAATGCGTCGAAAGTTGCTCTAGCTTCGTTGGGAAAGGTGGAATTTGGTAACAGCTACCCGATCGCCTTCGAAGGATTCCTAACAGCTACCCGATTGCCTTCGAAGGATTCCTAACAGCTAACCGATTGCCTTCGAAGGATTCCTAACAGCTCAACGGAAGACCGGCGACCGGAACATATCAGGCGAGGCTTATGTCACTCGACAACAAAATTCTCCATTTCCAAACATAGTACATGTATATATTTCTTTTATTTTAACAGCTGTTCTAAAATACATTTTGTCGGATAAATAGATGTTTGAAGACACAAAATTAGAACTTTATTGGTCTTGTGACGTAAATCTTTTGTTACTAGATGTGTTCGCGTGAATAATCTGTTTGGATGATAGGGTGTTTTGTATGTGAAGGCGTTTCAATTAATTACGTCTTAAAAGACAGAGGATCTTACGAGTTGAGATGTTTAGGATTTTTTTTAATTTCGCATCAATAGGCTTTCTTCCGGCTCACCCGGTGTTGGTTGCTGGAGCTTATAAACATTGCCATGCCACCATCAATCTTGAGATTACGCAAATTATAATTTTTGCGGGTATTTTTTTATTACACGATTTTATTATTTTCTGATTTCAACGTTCGCGTTATCAGTACGCGGTTATCGCGCTGTATTTATGTTATGATCAAGAAGTTCGCTGGAGATTCAATCTAATGTTTTTTTTATTGATGTAGATTAGAATTGCACTAGCCTATTCGCTTTAGTAATTTGTAATAAATTATGCTTAATGTTTTCACGGGTTTCTTGTTGCGAAGGGTTTATGTACGAAGCATTGTTAATAACGTTTTCTAGCATCTAAATTTGGTAATGTTCAACATTGTTTGATTGCTGTAATACATAGTTGATATTTGAAAAATCATAATTTATTTTTATTTAACTGTGACGTTGATTAGAACAAAAGCAATTTGTGCTATGATTTCTTTGTGTTTTTGTTTTTGTGCAACTACCTACATTCTAAATATTTTGTCGCATTTTTATTAAACAAATTGAAATGTTCTGATGATAGCTGATAGCTTTCCATCAAGGAATTTTGTCTTTGATTTGAAATTGGAATTGAGCACGTCCGAAAATAAATACTAATATCGTTATCTTATACCTTTAAACGAGCAATTCTTGTATACATATATATAATCTGATTCTCGGAAACGGCTCCAACGATATTCATAAAATTTAGTATACAGGGGATTTCGGGGGCGATAAATCGATCTAGCTACGATTTATTTTCGGAAAATGTTGTTTTATTCGTGTTTTCATATAATCAACTTTAGCCATAATCAACTTTATGACTCTTGCCGACATCTATTGGCGAATAATAATACTATTTTTCTTAATTGAGAGCAACTAACTGCTTTAAAGACACAACAAGATGGCGTTATAAAAAAAAATCAAATCATCCAGTTTTTGAAGTGAAAACTTCTTTAGAATCGTTGTGATTTCAAACCGGATGCAACGGAAAAAACGACAGGTAAGAG